CCCCGGGCCCCGCTGCCCGCCGGGGCGGGGGCGCACGGCTGGGTCGGGCCGCGGGGCCGGCGCGGGGGCGGCGGGACGGGCCGCGGTGCCCACGCGGGACGGTCCCGCGGCCGCGGCGGGAGGAAGCGGCGGCGCAGGTGGGGGCGGGGGAGCGCCGGCACCGGGCACGGACGGACGGGCGGGCGGACACGGGGACGGACAGAGGGACGGCGGCCGCGCCGCCCCACCGGGGGGACCCCCGGGAGGACAGAGGGACGGGGACCCGCGACCCCCATCCCATCCCATCCCATCGCCCGGGAAGCCCCCGCGTTCAGCGCGCCCCAAGGTGATGCCCCGCGAAACGGACCAGGACCAGGACTAGGGCCAGGACCAGGGCCAGGACCAGGACTAGGACCAGGACTAGAACCGTGCCCGCAGCCGGTCCCGGGGCCGCGCCACCCCCTTCCGCCGCCCTTGCCTGGTTCTTGTCGAACTGCTCCCGCTCCGCCTCCAGGCTGTGCCCGCCGCGGCGGTTCAGCACCCGCGCCGGCACGCTCTTGATGCTGTTCATGGCGGGGCTCCGGGACTCGGCGCTGCCGGCTCCGTCCCCACGCCCGGTCCCGGTCCCGGTCCCGGTCCCGCTCTCCGGGCGGCGGCGCCGGCACCGCCCCCCCCCCCGCCCCTCCCGGCCGCGCACTGCGCCGCGCGCGGGGGCGCCCCCGGCGGCCGCTCCCGGAACTGCAACTCCCCCCGCGGGCAGGTGCGACCCGCGGGGACACGGGTGGGGGGACACGGGTGGGGGGACACGGGCAGGGGACGCGTCCCCACCGCCCCCGCGGGCACGCGAGATGATTCCCCAGCTCAGGGAACACCAGACACGGAGGGGACGGCCCCGCGAGAATAACCCCTTCTCATCCTTAGCAGCCAACTCCTCCCCTCGCCCCATACACTCGCACGCACACAGAGGGCACGTTAAGGACCCCGAAGCTCCATCACCACCTTCTTCCCTTCAGGAAAGTCGAGAGCAAAGCCCGCGTCCACCCTGCGGAAAGGCCGCGGCTGAACAGAAGCTTTGTTGTCTTTAATAATAATTCAGTCCGAGTATACAATAGCAAAGGGCTCCCTGGAGTATTTGAGCTGCTTCCAGAAATAAGGCACCGGGTTTGAAGTGTTTCCATACGAGCCTCGGAGTGTGGTCAATAATGCAGTTGGCTTGTAAGTCGGTTAGTGCTGAATAAATTAACCCCAACATTCCCCGTCTTTCCGTTCCACAAAACCAGGGCAGCCCCGACACAAAATCCTAGAGCTCTGCAGATCCTTGTTGCACTGCCTGAGCTCAGCTTTCTGTATTGATTTTAAAGCCATCAGTGGGGCATTTTAAACTCACAGGGGGTTTAAACTCAGAATTCATCCAGTAAACTCAAACGCGTTTAAACCAGCGACCACAGCTCCCGCTTGGAAGTTGCACCAATTTCTCTGTAAAGCTGCTGGGCAGCTTCAGAGTGAGCAGCATGGTATTGTTATCAGTGGCTTTTTAGGGGGAATTTTTGTCATAGCCACAGCAGGAGACTCTGTATGGAGCCTGGAAAGGTTCTGTGCAGGTAGAGGAATAAATGCACTATAAAGGCTTGTGGAAACTGGAAAAGAGATGGAGCAGCTGAGCTTCCCTCTGGCAGCAGCTCTGATCAGAACTGGTCAAGTAATTTTAGGGCAATTAGTACTTGAAGGAAAGGCTGTCATTGGGGTAATTACAGAAGCAAATTACATGAAAGAGTTAACAAGGGGAGTCCACGGAGTGTTGTGTTGCACTGCAATTAACTGGTGGCAGTGGAAGCAGTCAGAGACTCCCACCCTTGGCTGCCCCCACGCAGGAAAAACACTGGCACAGCTCTGGGGACTTGGCACAGGTGTCCCCAACTGCTCCCAACCTGCACAGGCCCGAGCAGCCAGCTCGTGTCTGTGCTCAGAACCATCAGGAATGGAATACTAAATACGCTGGACAGTGGGTTAAACAGGCAAAAAAAGACACAGCAAAGTATCACCTTTATTATCTTATTTGATCTTTTAGTTAAAAAGTAAGTTCAAATTGCGATAACAGGATGTGTCTTGCCCAATAGGCAAAGATAAAACCAGGTTAAATGCTAAAAAAAAAGGGTCACGTGGTGCTTGGCTGCTGCTCTACAGTGCCAACAGAGCCCATACACACCTGATCCCAAAAACTTTTGCTGGAAGAACCAGCTCCTGAGTGTGACAGAGTTGTTCTGCCCATGTTGTGGGTGACAGCTCTCCCATTTCAATTCATTTCCCAGTTCCTGCTTACAACACTAATTGGGAACTTCCTATAAACATTATTCATCTCTCTCCAAAAGGCAAGAAGTCCAGAACAAAAACAATATGCTAACGAGAGAAAGAAAAAGCATGCTTGGCTGTGTCATACTCTATAAATATTTCTGAGGCACCATAAAAAATAAAAAGATTAAAAAAAAAACAGTTCCTATGTTGTAACAATTACTCACTTCAGATTCTTAAAAAACAAGCTAGTGTTTAACCTGAGCTCTCAGCTATAAAAATAGCTTTGTTAATCTTGGCATCATTCTGTGTTTTATTTCAAGATAAAATACATTCCAGCAGAGTCACATCTTTTCACCAGTTGTGGGTCTATCAAACACTCAGAGAACCACGTTAAAAAATGAGGTAACTTTCCACTGTAACTGCTGGGTTGATCTTCAGTCCTCAGAATCACTTCTGTGTTAGAAACTTCTTAATCTACTACAGAAATTTAAAAGAAGTTTATTTAAAAAAGCAAGAACATTTCCTTTAAAATATATAAAATATATAAAGCAACCACATGTATGTCAATTTACTACACACATTTTTACACTGTAAAGAGAATAAGAACACAGAGTAAAAATACAAACAGGAGAAAGGTAAAAGCACTTTATAGACAGACAACAATCTCAGTGGTACCAAGGGGGTGTTAGGGAATAAAACCCTTCCAGTTTGCTTTGTGAAAAGGAGTGATCTTTGTGTCCCTGGCCAGCCCCTGAGTCACCATTTGGGAGCAGTGGCACATGCTATGCAGTCCAAAACTGAATATAGCCCTTTACTCACTGCTTTCCTCAGTTCTTCAACTCTCCCCCACCCAATCTCTCTCTAAAGACAAAACAACTGACTGAGGAGAATGGCTCAATCCCTGGCAGCCAGAGAGGAAATTACCCTGATGTTTGTCAGTGCACCTGCCCTCAGACGGTTTCAAAGCAATTTTAAACCCCAACAAACACAACCAAAACCAATTCAATCACCTCTGTGTATGAAGCTGCACAAATGTTGTCATTTCTGGACCTGCTACCAACTCTGCTTCGGATTTATCCGATCACAGCGATTCGGTGCCTTTTAACACACAAAGAAAACGGGAATTGTGCATTAGGCAGCGACTTGCAGAGTCACTAACTCTTGTCATGGATGTACAGTGGATTTTTGTGGGTGTGTTTGTTCCACTGGCTCTTTCTCACTTGAAGCAAATGGGATTATTTCTGTAGGCTCAGCACACACTCCCCACTCTGCTGCCTCAGCACAGGGCTCAGCACTTTTGGGGATTTGCTCCTGAAACTTTTGAACATCAGTGGTTTCAGGATGCAACTCACAGTGTTGGCTTCGACCTATAAAAGCTGCGGCTGCTTTTACCTCAGGGCTCTTTTTAGGAAAAGAGCAGCTCTGCACAGGAGCATTTCAGCATTCCAGCTACTCAGCATCCACCTCCTCCCAGTGCCCCATTAGCTGCACTCCACAGACCCGCTGGATTTTGGGAGAAGCCTCAGTGTCTCCAGGATTAATGCAGGAACAGCAGAACATGAGGGTGCTACAAACCACCCCCACTCCCCAGGGCATAGAGGGTTTGGCTCCACAGGGGAGAAACAGCTCAGGGACTGCAGCTGGAATATCTGAGAGGGAACTCAGCACCACTTGCCTGCTGGATCGAAGCTGATCCATAGGAGAAGAAACCCAGAAAGCCACAAAGCTTCACAACCCAGCTGGCTGTGTGATACCCTCCCTCTGCAGGCAGGAGCTTGGTTGTGTCAGCACTGGAGGATTTCTCTTTTTTTTTGCCAGTTTTTCTCCTCATTGTTGCTGGTTCTTATTCAGTTTCAAGTGGTGTTCAGGATTTTAACCATATCTGGTTACTCTTTTGTCCTCAGAAGCAGACAATGTGGTGCCTACTGCAAGCATCCAATCCACATCAGGGGAACAAATAATCAGAGAGTGAGAAATTTCCTGATTCTAAAAGAAAAAACAATCTGCTGTGGGCAAGGCTGCTTGGGATATTCTGAAACAGCTCTATTCAATACATTCTACTTTTGGGGTTTTGAGCCCAGGAACAATATCCTAAAACAGCCCTTGGCCTTGGCCCTGGAAAACACTTCCCAGTCTCTCATTCAACAATGTTCACATCCTTGATCCTGTTATCTGTAACACACAGAAGGGTTTTAACTACAATAAACAGCCTGCAGGTACTGGGGAATGGAGCTGTGAGATCTGACTGCCCAGAGGACGAGGAACATGCTCGAGGAAAGTTTAATTATTTGACTAAAGGAATTATTTGCTGCCTTAATATCTGTTTGCTGTTACAGTACTCACAAGAGTTTTACTGGAAATGCACTTAGAATCCTGTGCCAGGCTCAACTCAGAAATCCATAACCTGTATTAATATTGCAGATGCATTTATAAAAAGGAAAGCAAACAAATAAAGATCAAGTTGAAAACACCTTCATGCTCCTGGAACATCATAGAGATAAGAAGGAAGCTTAGTATCTCTTTCTTCTGCTGCAGATAACTGGCTTTTGTGCAGAGTTGCAGCAAGTTCTGTTGTCTATATTGTAATGCAAAAACCCTACCTGGAAATCAAAGGACTCAGAGAATAAAAATTCCAGAGCTGCCAGGTTCAAACTGGCATTCTCAGTTGCCTCTTCTCCTCCCTCCCCCAAAGCAGGGCACAGAATCCAACCCATACAAATTCTTTCTGATTAAATTCTGAGGTATTTATTATGTTTTAAAGCTCAGTTTCAAACAGCCTCAGGTTTTAAGCACAGATTAGTTGGCCTGCATAGATTAACCGAAACACGGTTAACCGTGACGAGTTTTTACCCAGAACTGCTATGAAAGTAGATCAGAGTTCCACAGATGTGGCTCAGGATCTGCTCCCCCAGAACCCACGAGCGTGCTTTATGTTCTGTCCCCTGAAGCCCCAGTTCTGAATGAGGAGCCAATTCCCAAGCTCAAAAATGCAGGCTCGGGCTCTAAAGCAGCCCGAGTGGCCGAGCTGTGACGTGCCAACCAGCCAGCAGGAGCCAGACAGCTGATGGGGCTGGGCAGGAGCCACAAGCAAGCCCTGTGTTGTAGGGAGCTTTTCAGGAATCCTCCTACATGGATTTGCAAAAGACTAAACTGCTGCTGTCCTCCCTGCTGAATGAAATCCTGCAGAGGAGCTGCTGAACAAAATCTCCTTTCAGTTGGTGCAAACGCTGGCACAACAACCTTTACACTCACTCAGTCAGTCCCAGCACAGCCAAGGGTTTATGGCTCTGAATGTTATAAAAATTGCTTTGTCTGTTACTTACAGCAACGTTGTTCTGGTCAAGTTCATCTGAGGCTAAAAGTGGTCCAGCATTTTCAGAGGGAGGTGATGTGTGAGGAGAAAGCAGCCTGCTCTAAATCCAAGAGCCTAAATCCTCCCTCTGGTACATGTATCAGCACAAGTGGACTCATTTCTAGTGACAAATGGCACAATGTCCTTGTCAAACAAGGTAGAAATTCTTACGGATATTTATGAAAACAAGCAAGTGACTCCTTCACCAATTACTCCTTCTGCCCACATACCCAACAGCAACTCCCTATCAGTGCTCACGCTCATAAACTGCCACACAGCCACATACAGGTTTTTTTCTTTGACCACTGAGTATATTCTCTGACCCTGCAATGAAAGAACTAAAATTATTAACCCACAACCCCACTGAATCTATTTAAGCTGCGTGTCTGGTTTAAATTCATACCCCAAACTATCCTACCTAACACCTATTCCCTATACTGCCCTCCTTTCCATGAACACAATAATAAGCAGTTCTGACTCTAAGCCTCTGGGGCAGCAGAGTGGTGAGTGTGCACTGAGCCTGACAAATCATCTCAAGTGCTTCAAGTGAGAAAGAACCAGTGTTCACTTCTTTTTTTCTAGGCCTCCTACAGCTTGGCCCAAAATGACTTCTTCCTTCCATCTGTTTAGACACATGCAAAAGTCAAATCCTGTCATGACCTTGAGGATCCTCTAAAAGAATCCTATAAAAAATTCAGGCACTTGCAGCTAAGGCAGGCAGGAATTGTCTCTCAATAAACAATATCCCCCTCATGCTTCGCTAATGGAGTGCAAGTCAAGCATAAGGGATAAGATGTTCCCAATCAGTATTCCTGAGCACCTCAACCTAGTCCTGGGAGAACAATCTATACTGTATCCATGTGGCTGCTGTTTGGAATGAGGTGAGGGCTCTGGGGGAGAAGGCTGAGGTTCAGACGAGCAATCATCTGCCCAGACTCGGCCACAGCGCGATGCAGCTTCATCAGCAGGGAACTGGTGCCCTGGAGGAGACAGAAGGGGAGACAAAGTTACCAATGTGGAATATTTCAAAGGGTTATAACACACCAAGGATCAGCGTTTTAATCTTGAGATGTTTCAGTTCCAAGTACTGCAATGTAACAGGCCCTGTCTAACTGCTGGTGTTTCTAATAAACACAGAGCTCTGTCCTGGTGCCAGTTTTGTAGCAGATTTTCACATGCATTTGTACAGAGCATCCACCAGGGCAGCACTGCAGGGATAAAGGGGAGAACAAAGACATGAGAAAGCGGGAAAACCACAACAGGAAAGAAACAGTGTCCAAGGGCTTCTGATAACTGTGGCCACGGGTTCTCAGATAGTGGAATTACCTCTTAGCCAGTACCCATTCTCCCAAAGCTTTTTATTCTAAAAGCTTAGATACGTATTTTTAAAACTCATTTATGCTGTCCAAGACACATCGAGACAACGAGGGGTTATTTTGAAAAAGTATTTTGCCCCCTTTGCCTTAAACCTGCTGCCTCATCACTGGAGTCCCTGGTTCCTCCATGCCGGGAGACATTTGCAGTCATAATTCCCCTTAAAATCAATCAAGGGCATTCTGCAACAAGATACTGACTGTGTCCATGGCAGCACTGCAGCATCTGTTTGCTGGCTGAGTCACTGCCAGGTCGCTGATGTGCAGAGGGGAGTCTTGACCAGAGAATTCCACGGATCTCTGGGACGTGTTGCTCTCCTGAGCCGTTGTCAAACGGGGAGAATCCAAGCGGTAGAAACTCACACTCGTGTTTTCTTCACTGCTAAAAAAAAAAAAAAATTAAGACATTGGCAGGAAGAGAATCACCATCCTTTTTGAACTTTTAAGGGAAAATCGTGGGACAACATAAATAACCGTGGGCCCTGAGCCAAGAAAACCATGGAGCGTTGGGGATTACCCTGTTCCTCCCAGTGTTCCTGTGTTTAACAGCTTCCTCAGATCACTTTCATCCCCTCAGGACGATGGTTTGACATTCAAACAGTTCCAATCAGCTACATGACCACGTGCCTGAGTGTGTGTTTAACCTTGCAAAGAGCACACCAAAGGCCGTACTTGTTCCGCCCAATACTCTGCTACTCCTCTCATACCCAAGTCCCTTTTTGGTTTTAATCAATCATTAGGCAGATAAATTATTTGTAGGTGTACCTTTCAAGGGAATTTCACAGTCTTTTGCAGTCCTCATCCCTCCTCAGAGATCACAGGAGAGCTCTCCCAAAGAGGCTTTACTTTATTTGTTTTTAAATACAGGAGCAAACTGTATTCATCACACTTCTGAACACAACAGAAGCACAGTCTGGATCGGTAAATAATTTAAAAGGATGTGTATTTTAGAGAAAATACTATCTTTGAATGGATAACATCTAATTAAATATTCTTTAGATACTTATTTTGATGTAACAATGCATTCCATACCCAGCAAGACACTTACAAATAGGTGTATTTTTAAATGACATTCAATCTAGGAAAAAGCCCTCATGGGAGTGGCCAGCTCACAAAGTGTCTGCTGTGTCCCATTCCACTGCAGTAAAACACTGGGACACAACAGGCTCTCTTTTAAGAGAGAAAAGCTCATATTTCTGTGCTTCTGACAGGGAAAGGTTCTGTGGAGACGTGAAGGAACGAGCTGCAGCAGCCTGGAACAGGGATGGGAGGAGATGTGATGGGCACAGCTGGTTTTGGAGAACACTCAGCTTGGGAGGGAGGGGGGAACAACAGGTTTGATTTGGAGGCAGAGAGATGGCTCAGGAATGGGTGGCTTAGTCCAGACTGAACAAGTACCTGCTGGTGCTCCACCTTTAACATGAGAATTGAGATAAAAATCCAAAGGCAGCAAATGTTGGTCCAACATAAATGAAGTCACCAAGTCGGAGCACACAGAAACCATTCCTGCACTCTGGGATTTCACAATCCCCCTGGCTGTGCTGGAGAAGGTATTTAATAGCCTTCTTGTTGGCTGTTCCAGAATTCAGGAACTCATGTCAAAAATATTTGCTGGGCTGACAGGGAGGTGCCAGCACCCTTCCCTAACACAAACTACATCATCAGCACTACGAAACCAGCAACTGAAAACTGGAGGATCCAGATTCAGGTCCCAGGAGGAATGTTGTGCTTGGTCTCTGCCATTAATCCCTCCTCAGAAGCAACACTCCTGCCTTCCTCCCATTTACAGGGCGAGGATTTATTCCCTGGCAAATCCAAGCCAGCAGAGGTTGGAGAGCAGACAGTGTGGGATTTGCACTGAGTCAATCCATCTCCAATTAGCAGGGCCCTGGGACCAAGTGTGGGCATCAAGAAAACCAGACAGCTCGGCAGCAAATCCCAAATGGGCAGCACAGCCTCCCCCTCCCTCACTGAGGGATCTCTGCTCTGTAAGCACTGCCTGGGTTGAGTTTGTTCCTTTTCCCCTAAAATTCACTTAAGGACAAGACAAATAGGGCAAGACAAAAAGTGAAAGCAAAATTTTCATTATCCTGCCTCAGAAGGGATTTGGAGGGATGGCAGTGTGTCATTGGTGCTGCTGGGGGAGTAGGTAAGAAAGGTCAGGGTAGATGTAAGGGGAGTGGAGAGACAGTGGAAACCAGAGAGAGCCCACACCACACACGAGGCTCAGCTAAGCCCTGGGGGAATGTGCCAAGACAGCATTCTTTTTCAGTGGCTGCCCATTCATCCACCTTGTTTCTGAACAGGTCTGTCTCACTGCAGCAACCATTTCTATGGTATTTCTGTTTTTAAAGCCACATGGACTGAAAGCATCCATACATCAGATCCCCCTGCTTCATAACATTAATCTGGCTGGATGTAGGGCAGACTTGCTGGCAAACATTCACAGCAGGTTTAAACAGCTGTTCATTTACTGTACTTGTCAAACTACCAGCTGGAAAGATTCTCCTCTAGCTAAAAGGCAGCTACAAAATCTCTGTAAAACTTCAGAAATCCTTCTATAATAGAGCTGGCAAATCAGTTTTTTGAAAGGAGATAAAGGAACCAAGACAACAAATCCACAGCAAGTCCCAGCTCTGGATGCCTCTGCTTGTGCAGGCATAAAGCCACTCCTGAAAATGCGAAGCAGCATTTTTATCTTGGCTACTTTCCAACACCACCGAGACACCTGAGCCTTTTTCCGGCATTTCTGAGCATTAGAAACCTCCTTCTGCTAATCCCCCATGTGTCCTTTTCCTCCCCCAGCATAAACAGAGGGATAAGAGTCCCACACGAAGTGGAGAGTGGACAGATTGCTGTCCTTTCAATCTTGCCATCTCATTTCTTGCCCTGAGTGAGGCAGCAGCCTGTGCTCAGAGCCTGGCCTAGATTCGTGCCCAGCCGCACGGTGTGACTTCTCAACAGAAATAACCCAGCCACCAAAGCATCACACAAAACCTGCATCTGTTCCTTGCCTCACAGAAACACCACTCTGGGCAGAACACATTTTACCCACCAGAGTTACAAGCAGCATCATAAGACTTTTAAAATCTGTGGTTTTCTCAATTAGTTTATTTGGCAAGTCCTGGGGTGTTGCAGCTTCTCTTGCCCACGCAGCTCTTGGGGATAAGAGATGAGAAAAAAACAAATGCATAAAAATAGAATCATGATACTTTAAGAGCTATTTTTATTTCGAATTCGCTGCTTTTCAAGTTGGGTAGACCAATTTTTAAACAACAGTTACTTTAAACACCGCTTGAGATTCCAGTGAGAGTTTATACACCCAAGGTTCTGCATAACTCCAGCTTATACCAATCTGTGAAACGCAAAAAGCTCATAACCTTCACGAGCTGGCACATTTCATCTACTGTGTAGAATCCAAACAGCTGCAATCTTTTCCACTGCACACGCTTCCATCTCTTTCGATGGGTTTGAAAATCTCCAGCCACTCCTGATCCGTCACCGGCTTCCACCGGGAACTTCCGCTCGCGCCGGAGTTCCCAAGGCAGGAGTCGGACTCCGACTTGCGAATCGCAGAGGTCCTTTTTTGGCCAGACTGAATTCCGGGTCTCTCTTCCCCGGTTTTGTTTTTCTTACCAGTCCTGTCGGCCGCGGTGCCGTTCTGGATCAAAGTGCTCTGCAAATCCACGCGAGATTGGATGTTGAGCCAGTGCTCATAGGAAGGTATAGATGTCTCAAAGGTTTGTTGGTCTCTGCTTTCCACTCCCTTGTCACCAATTTCCCTGTTTCCCAAAGGTCTTGTGCTGTTTGCCTCACGAAATATTTCACTGTCTAGCTCATCAAAGCTTGATGCAACATCCTGCTTTCCTCCTTCTTCCGTGGGGACGGCCAAGCCTTTCACAACTTTTTGACACGGGTTTAAGAAGGCTGAGGTAGTTTCCTCCAAGTCTGATGCATTCAGTAACTGTCTATTATCTACTCCACACATCTCAAGGGTGGTTTTTACCCTACTTTCTGGAAATGGTGCAGTTCCCCACTCCTTGTACATCGTGTGGCTGCCCTCAGTCCTACCCATGTGTGTCTTGCCGTGGCTTTCAGAGGCAGAGAATGTCACCCCTGTGCTACAACGGCACGATAAAAACAAGTCAGAAACACTGCAGGTAAAGAGCACCCACCACTGCACTCCCAAAGCTCTACCCTAGCACAGGCTGCTGCCACGGCTCTGTGGGAGCTCAAATGCCCACAGGCAGCTGTATCCTGCCAAAACCCGACAGAACTCTGCCCAGATTTGGCTGTTACTTTCCAAAATCAGTCTGAGAGTTCCCTCGTGTTTTACACAGTGTGGTGATTCTGTCTGAACCTCCAGGGTGTGCACCAATTCCCTAATTTAATGTTTACTTCCTGAAATAAACTTTGCTCTTTAAACAAAAGCAGGAGCAAGCCAGATTAACACCCCTACCACCAGACTATTTCATTTTGTAAAAAACCATGGGCTGTCTGGCCTGACACAACACTTCAGTCTATGACTGATGTTTATGGTGTCTCCTGACCAAATAAAAAACAAGGTATTTGAGAACTTCACTGGATGTTTGTGGTTGAGTCCAGCAAAGCCATCCTGACCCAGCACACACCTCTGGGAGGATGTGAGTTGTGTTTGAACAGTGAAGTCTCTCTCTGAGAGCAATCTATTTAAAAAAATAAAAAAAAGAAGATTACTTTACCTCCTTCTGCTTCCCGTCTTTTCATGCTTTTGCCTTGAGGCCTGAGGGCTCTCTGAGTTGCCGTGAAGGAACTGTAAGTCATTCTGCTGTTTTACATAGACCTGGTAAAGACAGGGATGGGCATTAGTGAAAGTCTGGGTTGCAGGAACATCGCTTGTCTTCCCAAAAACATCCTCAGTTGTTTTTATAAACCAATACCCACAGTCAAACTATTGTCAAAGACTTCCAAATCTAAGAGGACATCTCTGCACGTACTAGGAAAGTAACATTTTGCAGCAATAAACAGGACTTCTATTAAAGAATTCAGTGCTCTTCTAAGATGGAACCACAAATACAACATCATTGCTGTTACCTGGTATTTAATACATGTTGTTATTACGTTGTTCAATGTTACAGAATTACAGGTGATCACGGGATTTTGCTTTCACTGCAGGGGATTTTTTTTGTGAAGCTAATGCAGAAGATAACATACCCACCAATTATTTGCAATTAAAAAAAATGGAACATGCCTTGAGAGCCTCAGCTGAGAGCAGATGAACACACAAGGTTTAAGTCTCTCTTGATCTGCTGGCACACCATGTCCCTCAGGCTTCACCTGGGGCAGGTGTGTACACCCCAGTTCTGCTGCCCTTCATGTGCCTTCCCCAGCCTGGCACCACGGGCTGTCCAGTTTAACCCCAATAAAGCAACATTGCACAGCAACCCCAGCACGGCAGAAACCGAAAATTCGATTGTTTTCCTATAATAATAATAGCCAGATCTAACTTTTTTTGTACTGTTCCATGCAGGTCTGATGTTCCTGAAAGCGCTTTTATCACCTGAGAGCAGGAACACGGTCAGGGCTGTACCTGTCGCAGACTGGATAACTCCTTTTCAATCCGCGCCTGTTTAGACTTGGCAAACTGATAAAGTTCATCCTTCCTTTCGGCTTTCTCCACTGTTTCAAAACACATACAATTTCTGAATTACTTAAAAGTGAGCAGACACAAAGCAGGTGCTTTCGCCAATGCTGTGTAGCAGTAGAAGGTGGTACCGAACCAACCCAAAAGCATTTCCTTAAGATCAGCGGGATCTGTTTCCCCTCCAAATTAAAAAGAGTACAAAACCCGTAAGACAACTAAACAATCAAGTATTTTCCTTCAACTGTTCCTCTGCACCTGGATTTATTTTACAAGCAGCAATAATGTGCTTCACTGACTGGCTTATCTAACTTTCTCAGGAAGGAAAGGGGGAAAAAGAGGAGACATGAAAGTCTCAAAAGTTTTCAGGAGAGAACACTCTGAGCCATTTACTCCTCCACATGTAATCACTTTGGTGAACTTTGTGCTTTCACAAGGTTCTATAAACTGTCCCTGCAGAAGCCCCAGATATTGCTTTCACACAAGAATGGCACACAGGGGATATTCTTTTATTAAACTGCAAGGAAGGTGGATAAGAAGCTGCCTCCTTCACAGATATTAGTGAATTGCTGTCTATGAGTCCCTGAGCTGATGAAAGCTAAGGCATGAAAAGCCAACTGCCCCCCCCTCACCTGCCAGTGCCAGCTCATTCTTCAAGCAGCCATTTTCATGTTTCAGGTGAAGGATTTCTTCGTGCTGCTTGCTGTTCTCCTCCATCTTTTCAGAGAGGACATCTACAAACCAAAATATTTCCCAGAATGAAAAGGTACCATGCTAATCTACACCAAATTAGGAGCCCAGAATAAACATTTACCTTGCAGCTTATTTGTCTGATGCATTAGCTCTTTCAGTGTCAGTCTGAGCTCCTTCTGCTCTCTGTTGAGACAGAAATCCTCTGACTTCACTGCACGCAATGCACTTTCCAACTTTTTCAATTTGCAAGTAAACTCATTAATGTGATCAGTTGTTTCAATTAAAGCATTGTCCTGAAAGAGGAAACAGAATGTATTCCTAATTTTTTTATATTATGGATGGATTTTGACAAACCAACAGTGCATCCCACTGCTGTAGTTACAGTCACTTCACACATTTTCTTTTGAGCTCTTGAGGAACAAAACCCAAAATCAGAGCCTGGAAACGGGCTTGTTAATGGAAATAAACCAGTTTGTTGTTTGTTGACCACTCCTCCCTTCTCAAACAAGCCTAAGATTTAAATATGAGTGAGGTCAAGAGTGACAGAGCCCCCGTGGTACAGTCACCAACAACTGCACTGCAGTGACCACATTCAGTGCCCAGGGGAGGACAGTTGTTACCTTCATTCTAAGCATAGTGAGGAGCTCCTGTTCCCTTGCTTGCAGTTGGCCTGTTTTAACTGACAGCTGCAAAACTGAGCAGTGGAGATCCTGATTTTTCTCCTAGAGAACAGAATTAAGTGTCAGCTACTGCTTCAGTGATTCAAAGTCAGTGTTTTTTTCCAGCAAATGATGTTATCTGAACACTGTGAGTGGCAGTGTGGGATCCTGAGCAAGCTGGGGAAAAGAGGGCTGGAGCAAAAATTGTTCCCCACTTTGCTTGTGATCAAGGGTTTTAATACTCTGCACATCTTAGTTCAATTAGACAGATAAAATGCTTGATAAAATACTACTTGACTTCATTGCATACAGAGGGAAAATTAGCCCAATCATACAATCACTAACAAATCACTTAAAAAATTCTAGAACACTTGAAGACCAATTATTTTCATATCCTTAAAGCAGTTTCAGAACATTACAGCTCATCACAGCAATCAAGCTCTAAATAAAACCTTCTGGAATTCCCTATCCAAGTGCCCAGTACTGCCTTCTGCAATCCCAGTGCCTGCCATTTTTGTAGACAAGTTGGTTCTGAGCAGGGCTCCCCAAAACCAAGCAGACAAACAGCAAACTCCACATTTTAGCTTAGAAAAGTTTTTCACCTTACCCTTTTTTTTTTTTTTTTTACCCAACAACTCAGTCCTTTATTTTGATCTCACATTACTGTACTAAAAGAGAAATGCAACTCAGGAGCCCTAATATGAATTATTTATTCCCCAGTGAAATTCCCAAATGCCACTGGCATCCCGTACATGCACAGACTGTAAAACCAGACCATTACTCAAGCCCTACCTCCAGAGCCTGGCAGTGAACAGATGAATCTGTTACTTTTTGAGTCAGCTCTTTAAACTTCTGCTGTGTATTTTCAAGTGTTGCCTGACTGTCATTCCGCTGAGATTCTAAGAACTTCAACCTTTTGGTCAGTGATTTTATGATTGCATTTTTGTTGTTCAGCTCACCTGAAAAGAAAGGAGACAAGGTTGTCTGTGAGAAAACAGCTCAGAGACTGTCATGCGATTTTTTAAATCTCAGATTTTTTTTTTTTTTTTAATCTTCAAAATAATTTAATCCAGTTGTTCAAAATCATGTGATTCAGAAATGAACAGCTGCTCAGAGCTGCCAGGTGTTTCACTGGGTGGTTTGTGGGTGATGTCAGCTCTGTGCAGCATAACCTCAGGGCACAGGGCTCTGCAGCACACCAGCACGTCGCAAACTGTTCTCTCTCCCCCACATTTATTTAATCAGATTATTTTTTAAAGAATTCACAGAAGCAATTTACACATTCAAACAAGGAAGAGCCTTCTGATTATCACCCCCCCCCCCCGTCCAAGATCAGATCGCTTCAGCACCATGGTGGAAGTTTAGATCTCAGAAAGAGACAATACAATTTAAAGGCTGAAGGGCAGGAAATGGTTCTTTAAATGATGCAAAGCTGTCACTGAGGGGTCAAAGCACCTGAATGCACTTAAAAGACCACAATCTTACTCTTCATATTCCCAACACTTACTGGTCAATAAGCTGCATCGCTCTGCTAAAGTCAGTATTTTGTGGCGATCACCCTCCCAGGCCTGGATGTGTCTCTGATGCACAGCAACCATGTCATTGAGCTCCCTGTCACGCTCTTTCAGTTCTGCAATTAAAAGCTGGAGTTCTTGTCTCTGTTTCTTAATGATGCTGTTCTCACGATCTGGGCTAAGTGCCTGTAACAGGTGAGATACGGAATGCATTTCAACACAGGCAAGCGACAAGTTCTCTGATAATAAACTCGAGCGTTTTATTTTAAGCTGAAATACGTTTATATTATAAATAGAAACCATTCCAAAAAGTTCCTCACGGTCGCGGCCCTTGGCCTGAAACCCTCCGCAGTACAAAGTGGTACCACCTGTGGTCCCCATGACTCAAGCCTTCAGCAGCACAGTGAGTGATTTCCTGCCAAAAATAGAGCGGATTGTCGACGGCGCTCTCATGTTTTACCTGGGACGAAGAAGAGCGCAGCAGTGATGAACTCATGGGGGACCGGGGGCCAGAGCGCTGCCGGGCATTCGCCGACACCGGGACCTGTTGGGGGCTGCCACGTCCACCATGGAGGCTCCTGAGCCCAGGACCCCCGAGGCTGGGGACCTGAGGGACGACAAGCGCCGTTGACCGCGGACCGAGGCGGGGGCGGCCTCGCCCAGGCCTGAGAGGGGCCCCTGAGGTACCACCGCGCCGGGCGGGCCGCCCTCCCTCCCTCCCTCCCTCCCCGGGGCGGTCTGCGGGGCCCCCGCGCTGTCCCACACGGCTGGGCCGACCCCTCCCGACCCCGGGGGGGGTTCCCGTGCCCTCAGCCCCGCTGCCCCCGGTACCCCCGCTCCACCGCCCCCGACCCACCGCCGCCGCCGCCCGCCGTTGGCAGAAGCTCCGCCCCGCGGGGCGGCGGGTTCGAGACCCGGGGCCGCGGGTTCGAGTCCCGGGACCCGCCCGCGGGGCTGTGGCCCGCGCCGGGAAAACGCGGTAATTAATAACTTTGTTAATAAAGTGAGGCTAAGAGTAAGAGCCCAGCGGGATGGTGCAGGCTGGAGGTGACTACCTTGCATGTCTGGGGTCAAGACAGTTAGAGAAAATGCAGAACACTGCTTTGCTTCCACCCATGCAGAGGGAAAATTAGCCCAATCTCTGAAAATCACTTAAAAAATTCTAGAACGCTTGAAGACCAATTATTTTCATATCCTTAAAGCAGTTTCAGAACATTACAGCTCACCACAGCAATCAAGTTCTAAATAAAACCTTCTGGAACTCCCTATCTAAGCACCCACTACTGCTCTGGGGACAGCACTGCCTTCTGCAATCCCAGTGCCTGCCCTTTTTGGAGGTAAGTTGGTTCTGAGCAGGGCTCCCCAAAACTAAGCAGACAAACAGCAAACTCCACCTTTTAGCTTAGAAAAGAATTCTAAAAGTTGAATAGGATAACTACAGAGTTTTCTGGAGATACACCTTTCCGAACTAAACCAAAGGTTTGTAAACAAAGATCACTGAAAAAACAAACTTTATGGGTGGAGGCTTTTCAACTCACAGTGACAGGAGCACGTCACTTCCACAACTGAGCCACCAGGGAGCATTTATTGTTATTAAGTGGAGCAGTGAAATAAAAAGCACCAAATCGACGCTCGAGGCTGTTTGTGGAGTCCAGAGGGCAGAGTGTGCAGCTGGAACTCCCCTCACCCGCTAACAGAGACCCTGGAATATGCTCACTATTAATTTGTGTTCATTACTACCATTTTTGAACCAGCAGCACAGCAAAAGCATAAAGCCACTACAACTGCCTCTCCCAGAAGCCCAGCAGGGTTAGGAGGCTGTTTGGATTTATGAAAACAGGATAAACTTTCAAGTCATATTCACATATTCCTCAGTATTTCCACTTACTAGAATAAATAATTCGCTTGGCAGTGACCCACAAAGGAACTGCCTGACCACTTCAGGACTCACTGTCCTTCAGTGTTAACAAACCTGAAGATTTGTTCCATTCTGATTTCTAAAACTCTCTGCAGGTAAGCCCGAGGTGCAAGTGTCTGTACATCAGCCACGCGCCTTATTCAGTTAAACTCAGCAGAAAGAACAGCAGATGAAACCCAAAACTTTTGATAACTTAAATTCTTCTTTTCCTGTAAGATAATTCGAGGAAAGTACATGTAAAAAAACCCCAGAAACTGTACTCAGTGAGGAACAGGAATTTTATTTAAATCTACTTCATGCTTAAGCATGGTAGAACCCCGATTTAACTTTGGCAAATATCACAACAAAAAGGAAAAAAAATAAACAAGCAGCCTATACAGAACAGTGAAAATGCCAAGGGTGTGAGTTCTCCACAGTTTCACTGCAGAGCAAATGGATTTAGAAGCCTCACTTTGGCTATATCATTTATAACCATTTAATTAAATAAAGGTAGTCTTTCACTATCACTTCTTGACTTCTCCAAGGTCTTCGATGCTGTCATCATCCACCTAGGGGAAGAAAAAAGCAAAACACAGCAAAGTAAATGTATTTTCTTCTTACCTGTCTCATCTAATATTCAGCCCTGTAAATGCAATGAGGTGTGACAGAAGTAAACAGCACCTTCCCCAGATTCCCTGCTGTAAATTCTTTGTGAGTGACACGTGCTCATAGGACACAGCTGAGCCTCCAGGGCTCACAATAAACACAGCCCTATGGAGTTATTTCAGAAAGAATTCCACTTGGGAAATACCAGGACAAGGGAGAGTCAGAGAAAGCATTTGCAATTACAGCTCTCAACCATCAATTTTGGTCCAACCCCAAATTAGCTTTTCTTCTGAAGCACGAGTGTGTAGGGCTTGGGTTTATTTGTTTAACTTTTGCTATATTTTAAGAGGTGTTGAAAAATAGGATGGCAATGTAAGAATACTCAGATATTCACTGTTGAGAAATGGTCACAAAGAAGCCAGAGCCGGACTTATTCTGACATGCCTCCCTCACTGTAGGGTGGGAATGCAACTACTGCTCTTTTATTTTTGTGCAACAATCTGTGCTGCCAAAGATGAAGCCCTTTTTCCAAAATCATCAGAAAGTCACAGGTTACTGTGGAAAAATAGAGTCCTGACAGAAGGGTTTATTACCTCGGGCCACTTCTCCTGGATTACATCAATAATGTCATCTGTAAAATCCCCCTGAATGATGATTTCATCTTCTCCTGTTACTGAGGCACCGCAGGAAAATTTCTGAGCAAAGAACCTTTGTGCTTCCTTAAGATCGATTTCTGTTGAGGGGAAAATGGACAGTTTAAGTACAGTCTCTGACATTAAAGTATTTTCTCAAGTATTTTAAAGCCAAAAATCTTGTTTTAAGTGTTGAAAAAGTAGTGGCAGATTACAGCTGAAGCTTTGCTATGGTTTCCATTGAAAGCAAAGTCTGCTGTTTACACCCAAAACATCTGACTCTACAGATCCAGCAAATGCTTCAAGGTAAAAACTGCTGAATGTCCCCTACGTGTTCTGTTCCCATGGGCCTGTGCTGCACACACTCACCAGAAAAGCACACGCAGAAATGGTTAAAAAACACCTCCACTTCTGAACAAGTTTTTCCACAGAGGTGTTCTTTCCAGAAACATGCCCCAACACTTTTTGAGACGGGCTTCCAGCACAAAGATACCCAGTTTAGATCAAGGTCTTACTGATCCCTCAAGAGATCGGATGATGTTCTCATGGAGGAAATATGGGACATGGCTTGTTAATCCAAAAAAGGTTAAAACTTACCTTTCTTTACAGAATTTGTGGTCAATGTGTGAAGAAAGATGTTGTTACAAACACCAAGTGGTTGTTTGCAGCTGAACCAAAGCTGTGCAGGACAGCATTAAGCTGATAATCATTTGACTGTCTGATTAGAAAGGCAGTTCAAGCCTAAACAGTCTCAAGAGCAGGTGAATTTAACTGCCAATGACGTATTTACAGGTTTGTTGGAAATAAGAGGTTTTTTTGAAAATAAACATCTCCATAATTAAAGACAATAGACTAGTCTGAAGTCTATCAAGTGAAGCTTTGTTTCCAAAAACCCACAGCCCTATTTGTTTGAAAAAAAACACGGGGATAAAGACTTGAATAATTTATCCCTGAGGGAAGTCAGTGTACCTTTGGAATTGCTAAAAGCACCTCGGGACTTTCACCTCACACAGAGAGAAGCAGGTCACCCAGTGGAATACAATTAGAAGACATATCATGAGGTTAAAGTCAACTCACCAAACGTTGCCAGGCCACACACTCTTGTGACATATTTTTTCTTTGCTCTGGGAATTTTAGCTATCGTAACTTTCTGTGGCACAGTCTTCTTTTTCTGTTTTATCTGACCTCTTCCACCTTTAAAAGAGACCATAAGGTTGCATGATTAGTTAAATGATGACACACTTCATCAAAGAAAAAAGCATATGAGGTCAGATTTAATCCCTATAAACAAAGAAACTGTTATCTCCCCAACTGTGTTGGTAAAAAAAAAGTTATTTTGCACATTGCCTCAGGTTTATTATTATTTAAGAAAGATCCCATGTCACCAAAGCTCAATATTAAGAGAAATAACAACATACACATGTCAAATGTGCATTCAAGTATGGGTTGCACAGCAGAACCCCACTACAAGTAGCAAAAAAGGGCTTTTCCCCACACTTTACTACCACAGTGCTTGGTCTACATTTAACTGCTCTTTCAGGAATTGTTCTTTGGTTTGTAGTCTGGGGAACAAATCGTTCTTTTAATGTTTTTTACGAGTTTACCATCCCCAGGGTCTGTGTCCGAGGCAAAGCAACCTCCTCACGTTCATTCACGGGGGCCACGAGCCGGGTTACACAGCAGGTGAAATTCTGGATATCCAAGCACGACCCCAGAAAGAACCAGGCTCTGATATATGAACCAGCAGCAAACCCCACACCTCTGAAACGAGGCAAAACTGCACAGGATTGAACATCACCCTTCCCACTGGCTGTTTCTAGGCCAACCTGTGGGAACACTTCACATGTGGGGCGTTTATTAGGCTGGGCAAAGCATGGAAAAATTACATTCCATTAATTAGGATTCTTCAAGGCAGATTAAGATCTCGGCTGACTTTGTGTAGAGTCATCAAGTTACTCCAGGGTAACCAAAGTTTGATGTTCCTGAGCCTTCTCAGCATGAAAACCTAAGGAATTTAGAACAAGCAAACTAAGCCCTGTGACTATTTCTTTTCCTAACACACAGCACTTCCAATTCTATATTATTATAAACTGATACCTCATAATTTTGAAGACAGTAAATTTCTGTCTTAAAATTGCCTCAGCAAATTCCTGCAGTGCCTTTGTAAGTTTAGGCTTCTTTTATCTCACCCTCTCTCTTTGCACTCAATCTTAAGCCATCATATTTAACACCACACTGTAAGTTTTCATGAAACTTTAGATGAGAAAACCCCTAAATATTTTAAACACTGTTATTTCAGAACCAAAGCCCAGACTGAACACTAACAGTACCACCACACACAATAAATTAATGCTGAAAGAAAATGTCCTGAAATCTCTGGGAAAAGCATCCAACAGAAGAAGAACATAAATTACTGTTGTCACTAGACACTGCCTACTGACGAGGCAAACGAAACTGGTTACCAAG